CAAACACGCACCGTGTTACTGGTAGCTTGTAAAAGTCCTGGAACGCATAGGGACGGCGTGGCGCGCGCGCACGAGAGAGAGAGAGAGAGAGAGAGAGAAAGAGAGAGAGGGGAGGAAGAGGAGCACAAATCAAGCAAAACATCTTAACAAATGATTGTGACACCGGCCTTGTGAGACCACGCCCGGCAAACTGTTCCTCTGTGAAGACTGTGCCGTGATTATTGCAGAGGGTCGGTCGCAGCGGTGGAGTGGAATGCCACAGCGCGGGCACTGCTGCTTCATAATCCATCCCTTCAGTATGTGCCAAAGGATCGAAGCGAGGCGCTGGGGAGGTGAAAAGTCTGGTGCGCGGCGCAGGCCATCCCACACCATGTCGGGGCATCGACCTTTGACATCTGGGGAGGCATGGGCCAGGAGCGCGCAACATGAGTCCAAGGCGATCGCCGGTCTGCGCGCGTCGCTCATGGGAGACGCGACGGCCAATATGTTTGTGAGTCGCAATAGTAGCGATGCCATGCGCCAGCAGGGCCACTGAGGAGGCCCGGGCGAGCGCGCGTCGAAAGGACCCCCCCCCAGAGAAAAGCCGGGAGTCGCGCGGCGCTCGCACTTGGGGGGGGTCATTTTTCGCCTGGGCCTCTTCAAAGGCCACGGAGCCCAGCGTCGTCGCGGGAAGCGACGCCGGTGCACTGTGGTCTGCGTATAGGAACGAGAACGTCGGCACTGGCGCAGTCCTCTTCGGCGGAGGCGGCGCGGGCGCGGCGGCTGCAACGACGCCAGGGGCAGTGGCAGCCGCCGCGGGGGCGCCGGGATCATCGCGTGCGCTGACATACCCATCGGTCGAAAGAAGTAGGTAGAAACATGAAGTAGGAAGGCGCTGGAGATAGATCGGGTTCCCGCCCGCCCCCTGAAGAGGAGGGGCGAGGGCGAACCACTCGACCCTCGAAGTAGGAAGGCGCGGACAGTAGATTGGGATCTGGGAATCCAAAAATACCTGCTTTCAATGACCGATGGGTACTTGGGTGTAGCTGGCACAGCAATGGGAGGATCGGGTCCACTCCCTGACCTTGTTTTCCCTTGGGATTAAGGGGTCGACCGCCGGGGGTCCCCCCCGGGGAGCCGCTTGGGGAAGACGCCGCGGCAGTCGTCGGCGTATAGCGTCGCGGGTACGCGCCTCCTCTCGGGCAGGGCGGTCAACCATTGCCGACGCCGGTGCCTGTCCCCCGGGCGGGCGCCGGCCACGGCCTGACCTGCGGCGAAGGAGGTGCCGCGCGCGGCGGATTCGAAGTGCGCACTCACGGCCCGGATTCGCGTGCAGGACGCTTCTCTGCGCGGCGTCGTCAAGGTCCACGCAGACCACGACGGTGGCATCTGTCCACGGGGCATTGCCCTGGTTGTGATGCGGGTCTCGGCCATGTCGGCGTAGGACCTCTCGTCGCGCCTCCATCGCTCCTGCAGGTTCAGTCGCGGCCAAGACTTGATTCATTTCTACGGCGCAACGTTTCCGGGTCAGCCCGTCAGGGTTGCCTGGTGGGTAGCCATGGGGGCGGATGGCGTCAACGAGCTTATCGTGGTACTGCCTACACCTTCTTGCGAAATTCACGAATGCTTTCTTCTGAGTGCTGTCTGGGGTCCGATGGCTACGCGAAGTCCAATTCAACTCAGCATCCTCTAACAGTCGCGTGTTCTCAGGGTGGATAGTCCAGCGGGCCCATCCACGCCACCTGGAAACGATGGCGATTTTCACCTGGGCGAGAGGAGTGTCCTTGACAGAAAATCAAGAATCACTACATTCACCCTCGGCACGACTAAGTGGGAGATGTCTGGAGCAACGATCGCACCTGGCCTGTGCTCATCATGCGCACGTCCGTCAACATCGATCGCTGGAGGTTTGGTGGGAACGCGAGCAAGGTTCTGGTCAGTGAGGGCGTGAGCCATAATAGCGTAGAGTGCTCTCGCGCTCTCAACATCAACGACGCGCATTATTTCCGCAAATTCAGGGTCGCTCGGGTCGGGGGCCAACCTCGTCGAGCACTCCAGCTCCTGGCTGTCATCTGGATCGATGTCCTGTCCAGATCCTTGCTGTACACATTCTTCTAGACTCCTGACGTGGAGTTCGAGGAGCGGGTCGTCCTGCGGAATCGGAAACTGAGCCCCTGATGGGTCCACTGTGGGAGTCTGAGAGCCCGCCAAGACAACATCATCCGCTGCAGAAATTCCCTCCCGCCACGGCGGCTCCGAAGCTGGAGGGTTCGTAACTCTGGGGGGGGGGGGGCATATTTTCCATGGAGTCTACTGCTTTCCACGGAGAGCTGGAAACCACTGCTGACGCAGATGAGTCCTGGATGTTGCGGCAGCAGCGTCTTGCCGTCGCCGAAGCCAGCATGTGCCATCTCCTGGAGCGCGGCCGACGTGGAAGCGAGCCGCACAGAGATGCCCAGCAACGGGTCCTTGAACGTCTCGAGGCTTTGCCACATGACTTGAATAATTCGTTATTGTCCGCGTGTGTCCGGGTGCTTCTGGATCCGTTCGTTCAGCGGGTCATGATCCAAGACGGCTGTGGACTCTGCGGGATTGTCCATGTTCAGGGTCCATGTGTATCGCATGTGCTGCTCAGGCGCGCCATCCACCACCTCGGAGACCTCTCACTTTCAAAAGAATCCACCCCACGTAAGATGGCGCGCTCAAAGGATAGGCTGCGGAATGCCTACAAATTGCACGCCTTGCGAGAATCGTGCCCCGATAGAAGCCAACGCTGCGCGCGTCCTGACTGCCTGGGGGCGAGAACTTGCAGCTTGGATTTGTGCGGCGCGGGGCATTGGCAACGGCGAAACATGATTTCTCGGCGAAGGGCGCAATCATATGCAGTTGTGAGTACCGAGATTCTGGAAACTGCCCTCGGCGGAGCTACCCGCGGGCACGAAGCGCGCGACGGGCGCGCCGCAGTGGGGCGGGGCCGCCTTGCGAGCGCTGCCGCTGGGGCCTTCAGTGGACTCCCCCATGGGGCCGCGAGGCGCATGCGGGGCGTGCCAAAGTGGAGGGGGTAGGGGACCGCATGCCAACCCTACCCCTACCCCCCACGATTTCTGAGGCCCCTAAGGGTAGGGTTCGCATGTGGCCCCCTAGGGGGGGGGGCGGCGCGCGAGCCGCGCCGCCGGAGCCTTCGGTGGAGCTCCCAACGGGGCCACGAAGCGCGCGAAGGGCGCGCCAAGATGGAGGGGGGGGGGGCGGGGGGGGCGCGGCGTGCGAACAGTGCCACTGCGACTGGAACCCCCGGCGGAGCTCCCCGCGGGGCCACGGAGCGCGCGAGGGGCCTGCCGCGAGACTGCGGGGGTGGTGGGCGTGCGGCGCGCGCCGCCGGGGCCTTCGCGGAGCCCCCCCTGTGGGGCCGCGAGGCGCGCGAGATGTGCGCCGCAGTGGACGGGGGGCGGCATGCGAACCGCGCCACCGGGGCCTTCGGCGGAGCTCCCAACGGGGCCACAGTGCGTGTGAGGGGCGCGCCAAGGTGGAAAAACAGAAGGGGGCGGCGCGCGAACCGTGCCACTCGGGCCTTCAGAGGAGCTCCCAGCGGGGCCGCGAAACGCGCGAAGGGCGCGCCGAATTGGGCGGGGGGCGGCGTGCGAACCACGCCGCCGCAGCCTTCGGCGGAGCCCCCCCCACGGGGCCACGAAGCGCAAGAATGGATGGGGGGGTGCGGCAACGCGCGAACCGCGCCACTGGGGCCCCCGGTGGAGACCCTCGCAGGGCCGCGAAACGTGCGGAGGGCGTGCCAACATAACGAAAGGGAAAAGGGCGGGGGCAGGCGGCCCGCGCCGCCGGGGCCTTCGGCGGGGCCTCCTACGGGGCAGCACGGCGCGCGATGAGCGTGCCAGTGGAGGGGGGGCGACATGCGAACCGCGCCACTGGGGCCTTCGGCGAACCCCCCTAGTGAGGCCACGAAGCGCGCGGGGCGGGCCAAAATAGAAAGGGGAGGTGGGGGGGGGCGTGCGAACCGCGCAACTGATGCCTTCGGCGGAGCTCCCTATGGGGCCGCGAGGCGCGCGAGGGGCGTGCCGAAGTGGAGGGGGGGCGGCGTGCGAACCCTGCCACGGGGGCCTTCGGCGGGGCCCCCCACGGGGCCACGAAGCGCGCGCGGGGGGCGCGCCAAGCAAAGCGGGCGAAGGGGGGAAGGGGTGTGGGGGGGAAGGAACGCAGTGTCTTCAAGACGAGGACCCAACACCACAGGGCGGTTGGGAAATATGGTAAACCGCCCCCAAATCGCGAATCTCACCACGCTCGGCCGCGGCGCGCCGGTTCGATTGCGCGTCTTGGCCGTGGCGGTTGAAGTAATTGGAAAAAGACGTGAGCATAACTAGCGGTTATCGCGGAGGACCGTCTTGCCGTTGCTCGCGCGGTCCACGCCGACTCTGCGGTCGAGGTGCACTCCGGCGTGGTTTGGGCCAGTGGCGCAGCGCAGTGGATATGCGTTTGCATGGATTCTCTGTCCCGTGGCGCAGCATTCGGGGATGGACAGACCCCTCTTTGGTAAAACGTGGTTTAGTGAAAACTACCTGAGGCCCAAACCTGGCGGCCGCAAGCCTGGAAAATAACGACCACGGCGCCCTCTCGAGAACCGAAAACGGACAATCCACTAATCGACGTGTCACTGTTGGGGGTTCTGTCCACCCCCGAAGCTTGAGGCGGCCCTGCCCCTCCCAGCCTGGCCGCGCGATCAGAGCCGCCGCGCGCGAAGAGCGCGCCGAGGCAACCCGGGGTCCATGTGATTTCACATTGCTCTGCGATGGGAAAAGGTCCGCACATAATCCACACGCAAATCAATGTCAGTTTTAGTTTGCATGGTTCGCGCCGCGGAATCCACGCGCAACTCCACGCCCAGGATGGAAGGATCCATGCGGAATCCATTCGGAATCCATTCTGCAGAATGCCCTGTCTTAAAATTTGAGGAACTGCTCCATGTGGGTCTGGTAGGCGACGAACCACAAAGCAATAAGACCAACCATTTTTGTCGGAGACGGGTTTCATCTGCCGGCCGCTTCAAAAGGCTATGACTGAAAAGGCAACGACGCAATCGCGCTCGCCAGCCGCTTGAACACCCGAGCGTCGCAAAACGGTAGACTCAACTCCACGAGCTTGTGGATAGTTATTTTTCCTGACATGCCAATTGGTGCCCGCACGGTCCATCTTGTCAACCCCGCCTTCTGCAAGTACGGCCATGATTCCCCGCGCCCCCACCTCAGGAAGTCAGGACAGGAAGTCTGCGTGCCGGCTCCGGTAGCCGGAGCGGTCCCCTGAGGGGCAGACGCGCGCATGGCAATTAGGAAAATGCATCAAATGAAACGCGTGCATGGAAGGCCGCTCACGCATCCAACGAATCTCTCCATCTCAGACGAGGTCGCCCTTGAGATCGTTTGGCTTCCGTCTGGAACCACGAGATCGCCCCCACCTCAGAGATAACGAAATTGGAATGGACATCGAAATGCTTGTGTACACCCCAGCTGTCGGGCAGCAAAGGGGCCGATCACGCTCTGGCTCCGGTGCCGGGGCGGTGTCGGGGCCGATCATCGGGGGCGGCAAAGAGGGGGGTGTCAAAGAGGGGGGGGTGCAAATCATGGCCGGCGGCATGTGCGCGGCCCAGCGGGGGGGCCAGGGACGTAATGAAATAAGAAGAGGCGCCATGAAATCTGGGGAAAAATCATGGCCCGCGCCATGATATCCCCACCCCCCCCCAGTCATCACCCCCCTCTTTGCCGCCCCCGACAGTGTTGGGGCAATGTCGGCCAGTGCCGGGACAGTGCTGAGGCCGATCATGGTAGAAGCTCATGACATCCCAAATCCTGGCGAGGTCGAGCATCGCGCGTGGCATGATCTCATCGACGACCCCATCGGCCAGATCCCACCATCGCCGGGGGTGTCCGATGTACAGGTTCATGGACTTGCAGGCGTCTGCTTGCCTCTGATCGGCACCACAACGTGCGATGTCGCTGTTGCACCACCATGTGGTGGCACCCACCTGTCGCTGGCAGAAGGCCTGCTTCAGGTGTGGGGGAGTGTTGCGCTAGGTGTCCCACAGTGAGTCGTCCAATGAATTAGTCCGTTCTGACATTTTCGGCCTTGTCCTGGTAGAGAACCTTCTGGTCCTGAACCAGTACCCGTACGCATGCATGATCAGGAAAGTGCCTGGTTTCTGCGGGCTCGAGCATGCCGAAGCATTTCTTACGGGTGGTCACGTTGTCTTGCAGAATGCGCATTCCAGTGGCGTAGTTCAGCCAGCCAGGTTGTCATAATGCTCTGGCAACAAAAGTGGATCTACTCCTAGTCGAGCAATCTTGTCCCCAAAGAGTTGTGGCGGGCGAAGGTATAGCCACCCCAGCAAAATGGTAATGCGAAGCAAAGCCTGCAAGGGTTGCCCCTCGCAGGTAATTCCGACCAAGGATGAATCCACGGGCGAACGGCGCGCCGACCTCGTTCCGCAAGTCGTAGGCAGTGAGCTTGTCGATGCCGATCCGCGGTGTACTGCACTCCTTGTTCGAGGACCCCATGCGTGGGGCCGAGTCGGTGGAGATGCATGTGAAAGGTGCCGCGGTTCCCTCAGGCCCGTGGGTTTTGTTGAAGGCGGGGCCGAAGTCCTCCTGGCATGTCTTGCGCCGACTGTCCTCCCTGTTAAACAAGCAAGCGAGTTCCTTCACGGTGAAGGTAGCGATTCGTGGATTGGCGCCCACATGCTCGAGGGGATTCGTGTAAGCGCATGCGGCATCTTTGTCATCTGGGGCGGGGCCGTCGGAGATGCCAGGAGTGAGCGTAGAGTATCTGGGCTCTGGCAAGCTACGGGAACGGCAGATGACGGAAAGCGCGCGTTAGCGTGCGGTCCGTCAGTCGGAAGAAATTGGACTTGGGGGAGTTCGAGGGGGGTGGCATCGCGAGGCCCGGATCTAATTGCCCTCCCGCCTCGTTTTTTATCGAGTAGGACGGCTTCCGGGCTTAAACCAGCGTTTCGCTCGAGACATCATCGGAGAACGCTTCTTGGGCGCTTTTGGGGCCGTCTTAGGCGCCTAAGACAGCCCAAGAAGCGGCCAAGACGGCGCCCAAGACGGCCCAAGACGGCCCAAGAAGCGCCCAAGACGGCCCAAGAGCGCTCCAAGAGAGCCCAAGACCGCCCAAGGCGGCCCCAAGACGTCCCAATAGGCCTCCACGACGCCCCAGGAGGCGCCCACGAGGCGTCCCAAGCGGGCCCCAAGAGGCCAAAATCATTGATTTTCTTAAGAAAAACGTGCATTTCTAGCATATACGGCTTTTCGCCTTTCATGGCGTTGAAGACGGTCCAAGAGGCCCCCAAGACCGCCCCAAGACGGCCCAAGATGTTTCCAAGAGGCCCCCAAAATAGCCCAAGAGGGCGCCAAGACGGGCCAAGAGGCGCCCAAGACTGTCCAAGAGGCCCCTAAGAGCGCCCCAAGAAGGCCCAAGAGGCCCCCAAGAGGGCCCCAAAACGGCCCAAGAGGGCGCCAAGACGGCCCAAGAGGCGCCACGACGGCCCAAGACGGCCCCAGGACGGCCCCAAGAAGGCTCCAAGAGGCCCCCAAGAGAGCCCAAAGACGGCCAAAGGCAGCCTAGTCCCTTCACCCCCGCCACCCAGAATCTCCTAGGAGGCCCCAAGAGGCCCCCGAGAAGCCCCAAAAGGTCCCCAAGAGGCACCCAAGAGGCTCCCCAAGAGCCCCCCAAGAGGCCCATAATACTCCCAAAGGCTCTTAGCACCGCGGCTCCCAAGAGCGAGCGGTGACGTAATCGAGCTGATAAGACCAAAGCTCCCAACAGAGAGCTGCGGCGTAATAAGTTCTTGACGCCAGGGCACAGGGACGGGCGGCAACGCGTGGACAACGAGCGGTCCACGCAAGGAAAACGCGGGGTTCTGGAAAGCTGGCAGCCCAAACGCGGAAAACGCAACGCGACCCGACCGCCCCCTCCAAAACAAGAAACGCGCTCAAAGAAAGCTCCGCGACTCTCCGAGGCTGAGATAGGACAAGAGCGAGGGGAAGGGAGTCAATAAGAGGTGTAAGAGCGGACGAGCCGGCGATCTCGTGCGCTCTGAAAGTAAGTGCGCTTTCCGTCCCCGTGCCAAGCAAGTCTAGTGGCCTTCGGCGCATCCCAGGTTGCGGGTCAGAGGCATCTTTGCGGATACATCGTGGGGTCTCCTTCTAGGGCCTCTTGGAAGCCTCCTGGGGCCTGGGAGCCTCTTCGAGGCCTCTTGGGGACAACTTGAGTGGGGCCTCTTCGGGGCCTCTTCGGGCCTGGTGGGAGCCTCCAGGGGGCATCCTGGTGGTGTCTGGGGGGCCTCCAGGTTCTTGCGGAAATGTCGGGGCTTTAGGGGGGGCATCCTTTCGGGAGAGACAAGCACGGCAAATTCGATGTCCCTCTCTTGGGCCCCCTCATGGGTCTCAGGGCCGTCTTGGGGCCCTCTTGGGGGCCTCGTGGGCCGTCTTGGGGCCATCTTGGGGCCTTGGGTTGTAGGAGTCGCAGACAAGAGAGAACGCATATTTCTCGCGATATGCAAAAGCCAAGGCTCAAGGACGCCAGCAAGTGCTTCTGGCTCGTGAGGTGGACGTCGTCCGCAGCCCTGCGGACTGCGGAAGGCCACCAAAGGCAGAGGCCGATGAGTCATGGGCAGCCGCCTGACTATGCGCGTCCGCCAGATCACCCCCGCAGCCTCAGCTGTCGGCTCCTCGATCCCGAAACACTTTGGTGATTGGGACCGGCTGAGGCCGAACGGCTCATGAAACACTGGAGAAAAGCCAACCGCATCCAAGCACGCTGCCCCTCGGAAACACAAGATAGCGCCGATCCTGTGGCACTCTGCTGCTATCTCGCGAACAGCTGAAAATACAACAACAAATCACTCGTTACGCAGCTCTGCTCAGCATTGCTCTTTCAGCACCACTTGAGGTCAGCGCGGACGCATGCATCGATCAAAATACGAAGAGCGAATGATTACTCTGTTTGTCTTTGGACGCTCTATGGAGGGGCTTGGAACGCTGTTGGGCCGTCGTGGGACGGGGGCGCGTTGTAGGTCTTCGGAGCTATCTCAGCGGGGCAGGATCCAAAGACCAGCTCGACTTCACTATCTTTGGCCCTGCACGGGGGCCCTCTTAAGGGTTTCTGCAGCTGTTTTAGGGGTCTCTTGGGCCGTCTCGGGGGTTTCTGGGCAGTCTTGGAGGCCGTCTTGGGGCCTTCGTGGAACCCTCATGGGCCGTGTTAAGTTGCCGGAAGCGAAAAAAAAGGTAAGGACGCACCTTCCGTTGAAAAGCTGAAGGGCACACCGTCACGTATGCTTTGCCTTTGGAGGCACTCTCGAAGGGCGACCCCCCCGGGGAGGAACGCCCGGGTCCGGGGGCCTGGGCCCCGAACGGCCCGGTGCCCCCCGCCTGCACCAAGAGGCGCTTTTAAGGCCCGACACCCCGCTTATGGGGGCGAGCCTCCGGGTGATGATGATGATGATGCTGATGATGATGATGATGATGATGATGATGATGATGATGATGATGATGATGATGATGATGATGATGCTGATGCTGATGCTGATGCTGATGCTGATGCTGATGCTGATGCTGATGCTGATGATGATGCTGCTGCTGCTGCTGCTGCTGATGATGATGATGATGATGATGATGATGATGATGATGATGGTGGTGGTGGTGGTGGTGGTGGTGGTGGTGGCGGCGCCCCCCCATGGAGCTTGAGGGCAACTGGGCCAAGGAACCGGGCCTGATCCCCTGAGCGGGGGGGAACCCGGACATGCGATGTCCTGATTTTTGAGGAAGCGCGTTTCTCGGGAATCTTGTTGTGCCCGCTCCTTGTCCCTCGCCTTGGAGCCGCGAACCAAAAAAGTTTCACGGGAATCCAGCCAGGGGGGGGGAGGGGCGGTTCCGACCCCCCCGGTCCAAGCGCCCACAGACCGCGGCCTTTGTGATTTTCCAACACGCGGTCCGCAAAAGTCCCAACCGCTCCCTGGGACCGGTTTTTCATCCCGAGCTTTTTTTTGGACGGTCCCGAAGCCTGGCGAGGGGCCGCAGAAGCGGGACCTGACCAAAAACTCCCCGTCGTGAGTTTTCCACGACGCGAGCATGTCTGGGGAAGGGGGGGACAGTTGGGACGCACAGAGACATACTAATACTATATGTCCTCCTTGGAGGCGCGCGTCCGACCCAAGCATATAGTATACCCATCTTGTAGTATATCGTTTCCCGAGCGGTGTGGCCAGAAAGCGCACGCCGCGACGCATATACTATAAGATTTCTCGGTGCGCGCGTCGCCCCTGGGGGGGCGACGCACATACAGTATAAATATGTTGGGGTGATGCCGAACAGTGGGCAGAGGGCAAGGTCCCCCCCTGGCCGTGTCTGGCAAGCGGCTGGTTCTGGAGAACCGGGCCGGCCGTGGACACTCCAGTCCTGGCTCCTATCCAGCGGTGGGCGGGTGCCTGGCCGCCCTTCACGCGACACGACGACGTCGACGACGACGACGACGACGACGACGACGACGACGACGGCGACGCTGGCGGAGAGGATCTCGATGGGCAGGAGGGCGGAGGGGAGCGGAGGCACGGCAGGTGGCCCTTCTCTCGCTTGGGGAGGCAATGAGGCACCGATACCGATGCATGGCGCCTGACTTCGCGCTCCGCGCTGCACAGAGCGCGAACCAATTCGCGCTCCCGCGCCGTCCGCGAGGGGAGACGAAGAGAATGAAGAGACATCGGAGCCGAACCGTGAAGCGCGAAGCGCGAATAACTTCGCGCCCTCGAGGGCGCCCTTACCGATGCTCCTCGGACCTCTCCTGGGGTGCTCTCTGGCCATGATTTCGAAAAGAATCCAGCCGTGGCGACGAGGAGCTCTCCAGGGCGAGCAGCGGTATGGGTTCATGTTCCTCCTCTGACCGCTGGCGCTTTTTGTTGCCGATGGGGGCACGACGAGCGCCGCGCGGCGCGGATATGTGGCCAACTCCCGAAACCCTGAATCCAAGAAAATGTTGACGTCTCGCTTTTACTTCCGCCGCCCTCCGCCTGGCTGCCGCCAGGCTCCCACTGGCGGACCCGCCGTCGTTTCACTTCCGCCCGCCATCCGCCAGCTTCCACCGAAGGCGAGATGCGGCGAAGGCGAGCTCATTGAGCCCGCTGCGCCAAGTAAGCATGTTCATTGTTTTTTTGTTGTCTCTCTCTCTCTCTGGCGAACGCCCACCAGTCCGGCGCGACAATGGAAAAATAAAGAGGGGCAAACGATTCTGATGGTTGCAGTTTTGTCCCGAGTCACAACGAGAGTGGGGGGGACGGGTAGAAGGAAGGGAGTGGAAGAGGGAGAGATGTACGGGCACTGGAGGAGAGTACAATGATCGTGCTACCACAAGGAACGCGAAATAAGGAACGAAACCCTTGTCTGCCCCCCCAAAGCGCCAGCATACACAGGGAGCATCAAGGGAACAGCCATGGAAAGACGTATGGAACAACGGGCCGCTTCCGAACCAGAAATGTTCATACATTCATCGCTTTGGCGGTACTACTCATCTCGAGTCACTGCGTGCGGGACGGGGACGGGGAAGGGGCGGAGGAGGATGGGGGGAAATCGAACAGGGGGAGGGGGACCTCGAGATGATGAGAAAGAGGAGGACCTCAGGCGGAGAAGCAGGAGGAGTAGGCAGAAGAGCAACAGTATCGGAACGAAGAGCAAGAGGAAGGATCTCGAAATGGGAGGATGGGGACGAGGAGGTGGATGATGCGGATGAGGAAGGCCTCAGCACCAGGAGGGGGAGGGGGAGGAGGAGGATGATCCCCCTGCACGCTCCCCTTTCGTTCCCTTGGGCTCTGATGCCAGCGCAGTCGCGAGACTTTCGACACACGATTCAATGGGCAAGGCTCTCGGCGCTCCTCACCCGATGTAAAAAATGAAATTGGCACAGGGCAGGCCACGGGGAGCCGAAAAACTTGATGCGGGCGCGGCAGGGTGGCACATCCATTCCTGTCAAACCTGCCTCGTCCGACCGAATCTACCGAGCGTGCGATGCTCATCCACGCACAACTCGCATGATCCCCCCTGCACGCTCTCCTTTCGTTCCCGTAGACTCTGATGCCAGCGCCGTCGCGAGACTGTCGGCACACGATTCAGTGGGCAAGGCTCTCGGCGCTCCTCGCCCATATCACCCATATTAATGTGTTCTCTACGGAGAGGACATTGGAGCTCAGGGCAAGCGCTGGCGAATGGCAGCAACAGACAGCGGGGGCGGGTTGGGCACAGCGCGGCCTTTGAGAAACACCTCCTTCAGGGCAGCGGTGGAATCCTCCATGTACGAACTCAGCGCTATTGGGGGCAGGGCGTAGTCTTTAATCATCATCCCCGACTTCTCGTAGCGCTGAACACTTTTGGCTGACACCCAGCCACCCCGACGCTGGACTTCAAAAAGGTCTCGGCACTTGTTGTCTATGTCCCAAGAAACACCAGCATGCCGAAGTCGATGAGGCACAATCTCCTGCCCCCACAAAAGCCCTGCCTTCTTTATTCTCTGACCAAATCTGGATAAGTGAAGTCCCATAGCGGTTTATTATTCTTCCTCACGGCCAACGCCTGGAAAACATCCTTCATCCATTCGAACCCGATGGCGCCCCAAAGAATCGCATCGTCCAGGGCGTCGGTTTTCGAGACCCGGTGGAGGTCTGATCGATGAGCCAGAATTCGCCAGAGAGAATCGACGTGCATAGTGGGGGCCACAAGCAAGCCTTTCGCGAGCTGCATCATGGACCCTGGCCTCAGGTAGGCCCCGAAACAGGTGATCACCCAGGTCCCCATGTCGAGGTGGCCGCCCCCCGCCAAGAGACTCGCCAAGGCCGACACCGTAGGCCGCGTGAGGGGCTGACGGCTGCAGGGCGGGGCCAGCTTGGCCCGCCCCCTGGTAGCCCTCCAGGGCCCCGGCAGAGAGAGGCCCCCCAGCTTGCCAAACCTCGGGGGGAAGAACACTGTCGCCACGATCAGCCTCTGACCGAGCCCCACGTCGAAGCCGAGCAGGTACATGTGACTCATGTTCGCGACTATGGCCACATCGAAGTCTCGCACCCGGTCTGCGTTGAGTCTCTGCTCTTCGACGTAGTCGACAAGCCCGCGATGCAGCCTGCGATGCTGAGTCCAAGTTCGCTCGCCTACCGAGCTCCTTTCTAAAACCGACGCGTGCTGCATGCCTGGCTCCTCTGTCATCTTCGCATGATGCTTCTTGCGCTTGAGAACCCTGTCCTCGATCAGCGGGTGCCCATCCTCCTCCGAGGTCGCGCCGCCCGAATCGACTAGCCCGGCATCCTGTTGGACCTGCTCGAGTTGGGCTGGCAGAGACATGCGGGCGCGCCTTTTCTGGGCAGTGGCAGTCGATCTCTTCTCCAGCGACAGGATTCCGTCCGACGAAGCAATGCTCGAGTCTCTCTCTCCTCGGCCTCCGTCGCTCTCTTCGATTTCCGCACCAAGACATCCCTCGCCCAAGTAAATAAATAAAAAGAACGTGCAACTGCATCATGTTTGGCCAAAGCGGCTGAGGAGTGCTCTCGCGCTAGTTGCCGGACCTCAGGAGTGGCCTTTAGCTCGAGAAGACCCCCCCGTCGCAATGCTGGATGGCGGGGGGGTCATCGGCAACATTGACCTCGCTTGGAATCCAGCAGAAGCCCAGGAACATGTTTCTCGATAGCGAAACAGCAGCCATTCGTCGGACCTGGACCAGCAGCGGGAAGGCCCGAGCCCTGGGCCTACCAAAACTGAGCGCAACCCCCAGATTGTCTCCAAGGACGAGAAGTCGACGCCCCGACACTCCATGAATAAAAACGAAGTTTCCGACTCCCAGGACT